TACATATATATATATTATTTATAAATATAAAAATCACTTTTTAATCTTTTTAGTATTTAAATAAAATATTTGACAAATATGTTTTTATTTAAAATCAGTTTATTTGTAATAGTTTTCAATTAAATATAATATTATTTACTGTACTTACGATATTATATTAATAAATGTATTAATAATAACTATTATTTTAACAACATTTTCCTTTTGAGTTGATTTTTGAAGAAAATTATTATCATATAATAATAATGATTATTTTTTTCACTACAATTTTTAATTCTATTTTATTTTTAGACTAATTTAAATTTAAAAAATAAATATGTATACATTATAAAATGTGTTTTTAATAAATATTTATTTTAAAATGTTTAGTTTTATATAATTTTGTTATTAAAATAAAAGTATACATAAATGATATGTTTGACTATAATATGACTGTCCTGTTATTAATAACTATTATGAAAATAAAAGAGAAAATAAATATAGAGAAATAAAAACAATGAAAAACATATAAATTTTATACATTATATAATATAATTAGTTTAATGTAATCTATTTATTCATTAATTTATATATTAATTAACTAAATGATAATCGGTTTAATTTTCACTCAATTTTCTTGTTGTTTCCGATTATAGATTAGTGTTTACAACAAATTAAGTAAGAGATGTGCGTAAAGAGGAAATGGATCTCATGTTTCAAAAATAATTTTATAGTAATGATTCACATTATTTCAATACACAATTTAATAAATAATATTTAATATTAAATATAATTATTTTGTATTAATATTAATATAAATCCTAAATAAAATCTAATAATTCTTAAATTATATTATATTTTTTTAATTTTAATATTTTACTACTAAATTAATACATTAAAATATTATCATTTATGTTTTTTATGTAATAGAAGTTAATTAAAGATATTTTAAAATTTGAAAGCTTAAAGTGGAAAACACTAATTTAAGATAAATTTATAATTGTATAGTTATATCTAGAGTTAAACAAGGGTTTCGATCGCATGGGGTATAGATATTTATATCAGGGTTAAGCAAAGGGGTAGGGAGGGTAAGGCCAAAATACCACTCCCTTAAGATCGAGATTTAGGGATTTTACCCCCAAACTTTTTGACCAAATTGGAAAAATTGTTGATTAAAAACGAGGAGAAATGACCCCCCTCTAAATTTTTTTGAAGTTTATGAAAATTTTAATTTTAATTGATACTATTTTAGTAAATGTTATTGTTTTTAAATTTTATATAAATCTAATTATTAATTTAAAATAAGTAAAATAGTTAAAAGCACGTTAAAACTCATCTAAAAATAACATTATTTTAATTAAAATATTCAACTAAAAAATTAAAAATTATCTATTTATCAAATGACAGTAATCCAAATTACAATTTAAATAGAAGTTTAAGATAAATAAAGTTAGTAAAACAATAAATACTTATAATATAAAGTTTTAGTAATAATTTTTAAAATTTTAATTAAATAATTAAAAAATATTTTCAATTTTATAATTATTATAACTAAAACTTTAACAAAAATTATGTTAAATAATTAGTATTCAGTCAATTTTTATATAAAAATAAAATTATGTACCTATAAACTATAAACATTAATTATTATTTAATTATTATTTATATAATTAATTATATTAAAAGTTATAAATCATTAAAATATTAAAAATAACTCATAGTTTATTATTAATTCTTTTATAACTATTTTAAATTTTAAATACATTATTTTATTTTTTGTTAAAATTTAAGTTTTTATTAATTTTTAAAATATTGTTTTATATTTTGGGAAAATTTACATATTTATACAAGAACTTATGGGAATTTTATTGAATTTACATGGAAATATTCGGGAATTATGGTATTTTTTCTAGACCCCCCTTGATTTTGGATTTTTTGCCGTTTAAAAATCTTTTGGCTTAATTTATATTCTATTTGGACTTTAGGGCAGGGGGTAAAATCATGATTTTAGACAAATATAAAATGATTTTCCCCCACCCCTTTTGCTTAACCCTAATTATAGAAATGGGATAAATAATGAAAATAATGAAATGGGATTTTATTGTTTATATAATTTAATTTTTTTATTAAACATACTATACTTTCAACATTAATATTTTGTTTAAATATTATAATAACTGTAATAAAGTATTTTAGTTTTACTTAAATTATTACATTAATAAATTAGTTTATCCAAAGTGACAATTAACTTTAAGTCTCTTAACGTATATAAAAGATTGAAAGATTTAAAAGATTTTTTAATAAATATTAAATTTATAAAATTATGTAATTATTAGGGAATTTAAAAACAGTTAAATATTATATTAACTTAAAATACTTTATTTCCAAATCTATGCAATGAATATATAGAAAATAATTTTTTAATAAAGTAATAAAGTTTTTGACATATGTTTACTACAAACTTGAATTGTTGGATAAACAATTGATATTAAAATAATTTTTATTATATTTTATGTATATTGTATTTAATATTGTTTTATGTTTTTATCGATGTTTTAGTTTATTAACTAGACTTTGTAAATATAKATAAATATTTTTAATGTAAAAAGAATTTTTAAAAAGGTATAGTAATATCAATTTTGAAAAATAGTAAAAAACAGAATTTTTAATTATAAATATTTAAAAATTATGTCTATTTGATAAACATTTTGTAAATAAATTTATCAAATAAGATAATGTATATAATTAAACGATTATATTTAGTATTAGTTTAAACTTTAAAATAAATAATTATTTGAATTATTTTTATAAAAATAAAACGCATAAATTTTTAATAAATATAATTTATTTTAATCTTTATTTATTATACCTAATTTTAGTCACTTTAATGATAACTGTTTTGTTAAAAATAAAATTAATATACATTATTTTACAGAGCTTTATAAGTGATGAGCTTTTTTATAATTTATTTTTTATGACATTAAAAATATATATAAATTAGTTACGAGTCACAGATTTTAATACCTAAAATATACACCTTATATGAAAATATAAAATATTTACTATATTTTAGGGTTTTATAATTGTTAGAGAGTTGTTGTTRGCTTTAAATTATACGGCAAAAAGCTATTTCCATAGCACTCATAACTTATGATGAAATTATATTATACAGTATTATATCATTCATTATACATGTATAACATATTCCTTATAATTTAAATTTAATTTTCAGTGAAAGATATTTATATTTATCATACTATATATATTCAGTATTGTAAAAATAATAATAAATATATAAAATTAATCAAAATAAGTAATCTAATTTGAAATAATTTTTATTTAATGTGTTAAAATTGTATTATACAATATAATACAAATATAAATACCTGTATAGAGCTAAAATAATTCTCACTTAATAATCATAATTTGTTAAATGAAAAATTGCACTAGATGATAATTGAATTTTATAAAAATATAGAATTTAGAAACCATTAATATTCTAATAAATATTATATTTAAATTTTATGTTATAATTAAAATAATAAGTTAATGATTTCAAATAATTTGATTTAATACAATCCTATTGATTATTGTATAATAATTATTGAGTTTGAACTATACATATATTTGCAGTTATTTTACAGGTTTATATAATATCAAGATAATAGATACGACTATAATTATTACTGAGCATTAATTACTAAAAATATTCAATTTTTATTAAGATTTAGCTTTATATTTAAAACTAATATAAATTAAAAAACTTATTTAAAACAATTTTAATTATACATAATTTTTTTAATATTCATTAAATAATTTTTATATACTTCATTTAACTTTAGTTATGCCTTTTARATATTAAAAATAGTATATATATATATATTATTTGGTAAATTATTATACAGTTTATTTAAACTTTAAATTATAAACTTGATGATAAATCGTATATACTTTACAATACTATTAGGTAATATACAGTAATATATAGTATATACATATTATATACTATAGGTATCATTACAATTATAAAACATTTTAAATGCCATAATTTGTAATTTAATTTAATTTACTTCTAATTTATAAAAATCATAAATGCATTGTATATTACATCATTTTTACCWAAATGTTAATGATTAATAATTTTTTATATATTTTAAAAATGAAATGTTAATTTTTATTTATAATTAATTATTGATTTATAATTTATAAACAGAAATTCAAATATTTTAGTGTACATTGTGTATCTATTTTATGTAAGTTATTATTTATTATTTTAACTTAAATAGTTAAACYCATTTTTACAAAGAAATGCACAATAGTTCTATTATATTTTAAAATTTAAATATAATTTTCTAGTTTTAAAGAAGTTTTTTCAAAAAAATTGATAAAATAAAATGAAAATAATTTATATAAATTATATAATTCTTTTTTATTATTAATTCTTATAGAAAAAAATAATTACAATATTTAAATTAAATTAGAAAAAGTTAATAAATAATATGAATTAATTTAAAATAGAATATATTATAGGGATGACTATTAAGTAAAAATAATAATTAAARAATATTTAATAACTTAAAACCTATTATTATTAAAACAATATTTTTTGGCATAACATTCAATTATATTTTGGTAAAATAAAATGTTAAAATAAATTACACAATCAACCAAAATAACAATAATATAAAATTTTATATTACAAAGTCAATGACTACGTTTGCAAAGTTTGCAAATAATTTGCATAAAACAGACTAATTAAAGACACGCCCGGTTTGGGCTAATTCTCGCTCAGGTATTCCTCAACAATGAAATGTTACTCTAATTTTAATACTAAATAATAAAATTCATTTGAAAATCGTTAATTGGTTTATATATTTTATTTGAATCATTTTCAAACAATAACAAACAGTTAAYCAATAAATCATTAATTATAATACAATATACAGTWATTTTTATAAAAATTAATAATATATTAATAAATAATAAATAATTTTTAAAATAAATTTATTTTTAAGAAAACCCTAAAAATTAAAAGAAGGGACGATATTATTAGCATAAGAATCGTTAGTATGTGGATGTGTTGGTGCAGCAAATGTTGGCGCCATATGTCCCGTACTATTAGGAGCACCGATGGTCGACATATGGGGAGTGGACGTCGTCCTATTATTTACGGTAATTTGAGGATCAAATGAGTTGGTATTGTGTGAACCCGAACTCAATAAGGTATTGAATGAATTATGATGTGTCGGTATTCTGACATTAGAGTGGTGTGAATGATATAAATTCTGGTGATGTCCCGATGGCTTCCATGTTGTCGGTGTTTGGTAAACACCATTATTCATATCCATAGTCGAGTTATCCAAAGTTGGGCCCATTGATGGTGTAACTACAGGTGCTACAGGAGGCGGTGGTGGTGGTGCAGCAAATTTTATTGGAGATAATGGTAAGCTATCGTTGGAATCGATATCAGGAAATATATTGCTTAAGTGAAAATTGGTTGCGTGTGATGAGTGATGTGTCGGTGCATTACTTGACCCAAAATGAGACGATGCTGTGGGCGGAGGCACCGATCGGTTGGAATTATACAGTGATGTGACACTAAAATTGGGTGCATTTGAAACATTTGTTGTTTGATTTGAATCACTCGACACTGTTGTGTGCGGTCTGAACAATGAATATGAAGAACTTGTGTCCGCTGTAGAAGTCGTGTTCTTTGAGCTATTATTTGAAGATATCGACGAAGACATAGCTTGTTGTCTACTATTACTATGTGTTTGACTACTCGTTAAAGTGGTATATCTATTGTTACCGCTATTATTATTATTCGTGTTATTATTTGTATTATTATTATTATTATTATTATTATTATTATTACTACTACTACTACTATTGTTATTAGTTGTGTTGTTGTTATTATTATTATTATTATTATTATTATTATTATTATTATTATTACTATTACTATTACCACTATTGTTTGTATTATTTGAATGAGAAGTATTTGTTGACAAAGACATTAAATCATTCATTGAAAAATAATTATCACTCAAATGTCGAAACAAGTTTGTTGTCGCAGATGAACTAGAAGTGTCTGAATGGGTATTATTATTATTTTTGTTATTTTGCTTTGAGTTTGATTTATTAYTCAATCCATTATTTGAACTAATTTTCGATGATTTCGATGGATTAGGACTTCTATTAACTGACGAATTCCTTGAATTGCTTGAGTTGTTGGACTGTGTTTCACGTGTTTTACCATTATTTGCATTACTGGAACTGTTAGAAGTAGTGTTAATATTAATCGATGGATTTACATTGAAATTGGATCCTGTAATAGAAGGCAATGGATTATTAGCTGCGGTATTAACGAATGATGTATTGAAGTCAGGCATAAAACTATTGGTAAACATAGCGGGTCTGTGGGCACCACTAAAATGATTGGTCGCATCAAAAGGCGAGGCAGAACTCGGTAATAATGCAGGAAATGGTGTCGAAGATGTCGTTGGAAAGTATGTCGTGTTTGATGTGGTATTAGAGAAGAAACAACCAGTTCTTGAGTTATGTTGACTCGTATTGACGGAAATATTAGAGCTTTGATTGCTATTTGTATGCAAATAATTGCAAAAACGATTGTTATTGTTATCGTTATTTCGTGAATTTCTCGGATAAGTATTTAAGTTAGTATTATTCATATCTGGAAGTGTTGTATTGGTTGGTATGTATAATCCCGACTGATTGTTATTATCATAACTTTCCAAATTAGTGTCCATAAAGTTTGTAAAACCAAATGTATTATCATTTATATTACTATTCGACCGTTTATTTTGTTGTATATTTGAATTATTGTTTGTATAGACAACAGGACTGTGTTGTTGACTATTTTGTTGTTGTTGTTGTTGTTGTTGTTGAGTTCGTGATTGTGACTGCTGTTGATTTGATTGGTGAGATTGCATTTGTTGTTGGGGTTGTGCTTGAGGTTGTGATTGTTGAGGTTTAGTCTGTTGCTGCGATTGATGATCCGATTGTTGTTGTCGWGGTTGTAACTGTTGTTGTTGTTGTTGTTGATGCTGATGTTGTTGTTGTTGAAGTTGTTGTGTGTGTTGTTGATTCATTTGTTGAAGTTGTTGTTGTGATTGATATTGTTGTTGTTGTTGTTGTTCTGATTGTTGAGTCATTTGTTGTTTATTATTGGTTTGAATCAAATGTGACGAATTGTGTTGCGTTTGAGTTTGATTTTGTTGTGATTGCTGTTGTTGTGGTTGTGATGGTTGTTGTTGTTTAAGATGTGTTTGTTGTACGCTTTGTTGTTGTTCTGGTTTTTGTTGTTGAGATTTGTTAAGTAATTGTTTTTGTTCTTCAGATTGTTGTTGTGTTTCTTTAATTTGTGACACTTTATCCTTTACAATCTGTTCCCCATTTGTTTGTTGATCTTTGTTTGTAGACTTTTGTAAAACTTGTTGTTGTTGTGGTTTTAATTGTTTTGGTTCTTCAATCGGGTTTTCTGTTTGAGTACAAATAGTCTTAGCCTTAACTTTATTCTTTAGTTTAGGTGATCCATCGACAGGTATGGACTCTATTGTTGTGGTTAACTCTTTAGCTTTATTATCGACAGTGGATTTAGTTTTCTTAATTGTATCCTTTTGACAGTTAATTATTTTRATTGTATTTGTATTGAGATTCGATGCTATGTTATCTGTTTGTACCGTTTGTCCACTCAATATAGTCGGTTGTGATATACCGGTACTGTTTGGTTGAGTCGGCGGTAAAACAATACTATAATTATTAGATAAAATCATAGGTTGTTGTGTAATCTGAGGTGGATTTACAATCGATAATATCTGTCCGTTTGGCAATAAAAGTGCTGTAGTTTGCGGCTGTGTTTGCACCGGTATTTGTGGTTGACTCAGATTCAATATCAATGGCTGAGCTGATGATATATGATTTGTTGACGATTGTAAACTGTCGAGTGAAGCACCGGTAGATAATATTTGAATTGATTGCTGTGAACCAGTTGTTGGACGGATTTGTAATGTGTTCAATGAGTTGACTTCATTTCCAGAAGAATTTGTGACAATCAATCGGGGAATTGTCTCATCATTAGAGCCAACCGAAGACGACATATTCTGGTCATTCATTATGAGTAGCGGTTCATTTAATATATGATTGTTTGTCTGGATATTGGATGTGTTTGGCAACAGTGGTGTTGGTATCGATTTATTTCGATTCATACATCTGTCTCTGTCTTTGGATTTCTTCGATTTATTTAAGAATGACTTTATTTTCTTGGAGACCGAACCCAATGAACTATTGTCATCTGAATCACTCATCTGATCTCCTCTTCTCTTCGGATTTTTTTCCAAGAACTGGTTTAGCTGTTGTTCAGTAATTTTCTTCGAGTACTTCATTGGTCTTTCAAAGTGAACATCAATTGCGGAACAATTGGGGGAAATTCCCGTCGATTCCAACAAATGAAAATAATTACAATTCTTTTCTTCCAATTCCTTRCAACGTCTGTTMAGACGTCGGATCTCTTCAACTATTGGATTAAATAGCAAAAAACGTTAAGACAAATGTAAATATTGGTTCAATTGATAACTAATTGATACCATGAATAGCATTAATTTGATTGCTATTTCCATAAAGATATGCATCACTTTTGTCCTTCAGATGAATGATATAATCGTATAATTTCTCCAATAAGTGTGTCTTTGACTCCCGTTTAGGCTCTTTATGTGGCAAAAGATCGGCCAACTTATAGATCCAGTAATTGATTTTGTCTTTACGTCGCTTCTCGACGCCATTGTGTAGCCGACGCTTAACATCAGTCCGTGAGGTCAATGATCTGCAGAAATCATATTTGTTGAGACAATTATTGGACAAATTGTGATCATTTACCGAAAGCTGTGGTCGAGATCGAGGACACCGATGTCATCACTATTGTCACACATTACTAATGCTTACAATTGTGTGGACACACCCTTTAATTGTCAATAGCTATGTCCGACTCACAAGTGGTCACATAGAGTCCGGGTATGTGTTGGTCAGTGACCACTATTGCGACCGAAAGGTCACAAAACACACATTAATGTCAACAATGGCTACAAATTGATTGAATTTAATATAAAATTCAATTAAATGTTTGTTTGTTTGCCTTTTAGTGCATAACATAAGTCAACACCAGATGTCACCTAATGTTCAAACAATTGTTTTCATTTAAAACCAGATTTAATATAATATTAATATTAATTAATAATTCAAATGAAATACATTTAGAAATTGAATTGAATTTTATTGCAAATTCTTATCTCAAATGGTTTTTAATTGAAATATATATTTAATCTCAAAATTAGTCATTAATTTTAAAATTATTTGTTGTTTTAGAAATATTATTATTATTTTATTGAATTAAAATATTCAAAATAAGAAGATATTACTTGTAATATACAGTAGTTTTGTATAATTTAGTTATTAATATATTATTGAATACTTAATACAATTTTTTGAAATACATTACACTTTAAATAATTTATATATTTATTGAGTGAAATATGGAGGAAATATAATGAAATTGTTATAAATATTTGTATTTATAAAAACAAAATTAAATTCATTAAAAACAAAAACATGTTATAAAATCTTTATTATTTTATAATAAATTTTGAGATAAATTTTTAATAAAAATGATTTTTTAATTATTAATTTCCAAAAATAGATTTTTAAAAATCAATACATATATTATCATAAACTTAATGTCAAATTCAAGTAAACTAGAGTGACCAAAATCAAGTATATAACTTGATTTATTTGTAATTTATTGGGAATTAAAAAATCATAACATTTTACATCAAATATTTCTTAGTCTAACATTTCACAAAAAAATGTTAAATTAAATTATAAAATAAAGTGATTTGTTTTGTAAGTTTGGTTAGTCTATTAAATTATAAAATAAAGCACAGTTGCGGAGGAATTGATTTAAGACATATAAAAATTCAATTGATATATAGAGTGCCATAATTTAGGTCTTTATTTTGATATTATTTGTACAGTATATACAGTATATTAATATATTGGTATTGCAATTAATTTTATTAAAAAATACATGTACAGTATTTATTGGTATTTTTTAATAAAAATAGTTTATTTTGATGTAATATACGTTTTATATACAGTATATATCAATATATAAAACGACATGAATGAATCAATTTATTTTTAGAGATAAAATGTAAAATATTTTAAAAATCGATTTATCAGATGAATATTTTTAGAATTTTTTCCAATAATTTACAAAAATGAGATTAAATATTAATTTTTATCGTTTAATCATTTAATGTGCGAATATTATGATTTAAAATGATTTGATTAGTTGTGATTAAAACAAAATGATTGAATAATTTTAAGGACATTTTTATATTTATATTACTAAAAATATAAATATTTTTTTGGTAAAATTGACAGAAAAAATAAAATTTAGTTTCTATGAAAAGCTATTTTTAAAAAATATTGTTAATACAGTAAAATATTATGGAAATGTTATGGAAATGTTATAATAAATTCATAGAACATTTTAAATTTAGATAAATTTAAAAAAATTATAAATTTATAAATAAATATTAATATTTCAATTGAATATGGCTTAAAACATGTAAATATAACAAATTATAAATCAAATTTGAATGATTTGTATTATAAAGTAATAATTAATAAAAGACCTATTAAAAAAATAATTGTGTAAATTTTTAATTTCTACAATTATATTTTATATAAAATAATAYATATATTATCAATAGTTAGTATATTATTTATATAATGCATTAATTAACATATAATTAATTTTTTACTATAACAGTATATATCAATATAACAGTACTATCATAAAACTGCATATTAGTTTTACACAGATATATAATTCATATAAAAATTATTACTAAGTTTAATATGGATAAAAAAACATTATATAATAATTAAATCAAAATACAGAAAAATTAATGTTTAGTTTTAGTAATTACAAGTTAGTGCTAAACTTAATATTATTATAATTTTAAATTATATTGAATGCGAATATTTGTTATTATTGATTTGTAGATTATTTTAGTTATTATTTAAAAAATTTATCGTAATACACAAATATTAATATTTTCTTGCCTTAATATTTATTATATTTTAAATTATATTTTAAATCTGATAACATTTTATTTTAACTCATTGATTACAAATTAATTTAACACTACTTATCATTAAAAGGTATCATTTAAACATGTTTATTTTTTAAAATTTATTTTACTACATTAATAAATATAGTATCGTATATTAATATACTGTACATATACTGTTTGATTGAGTGCATATTAATTTTTATATAGTATTTTATTACATTAATGTTTTAATTATTTTAAAATTAAAAACAAATTTTGATTCTTAAGTTTGAAAGATAAAAAACACATTATTTTACAATGAATTCAATTATATTTATTCCTAAATATAACGTATATATTAATAACAATTATCAATAAATAAAGTGAAGTATAGTTACAATAGTTAAACGGCATCGACTTATTTATAGTTAGTTGTATATAGTATTATCATTACTTAAATGTTAAAATATGCTGTTTGTATATAAATAAATCAATTCACAAAAGCCCAATGGTTTGCCTCTAAACTTGTATTATAACATTATTATATATATATATTATGCTGTAAACTATATGCCATTGTATTTGATTGTATAATTTAAGCATAATATTACATTAACTTTATGTGGGAATCAAATCATTTTTAACACAAAAATAAAAAAATTAAATATTTACGATAATAACAAAAAAGTTAATTAAGTGCTTTAATTCAAGGCATATAAGATTTATTGCAATATATATTGTTGCAAATGGTATTCAATATATCAATACATTGTCACACAATATGTCTCTCAAGTAATACTGATTTAAATAAAATGACATTATTTTCATTTTTAATGATTTGCAAATTTATTACATATTACTTTTTTTGAATTTTGCAAACTATTTGCAAATCTTATATTTGATATACAAGTATTTATATTATCAAAAAAATCAATGGCCAGTTAGCGATACCCCTGGGTTTATCATATGAGCTACCAGTGCTCTAAGCAATTGTATTGAAATCTTTCACAAACAAAATTGTTAAGAAATCAAAAGAAATGAGTTATATATTTAATTTAATTTTTTATTTTTAAAAGTATATTGCAATTTAATACACAAAACAAAAATATAATTTAGTTTTCCACACATACTGTATACTGATATTAGTTAGTTTTGTTAGCTAAATGATAGCTAAACTTTACTGTCCAATTCAAATATATTTGTTGTATTATCATAAGTTTAGAAACTGAATAAAATAAATATAAAATTTCAATAATTAATAATTTATTTATTAAATTTATTGAAATTTTTTTTATACAATAGTAATATACAGTTATCAGTTAGAGATAAGAATTTTGATATAAACTATTTGCTATTATACTTAATGTATTCTAATTTATTTAATTTATTTGTAAAAATATAGAAATTTACTCGAAAAAATCACTAATAATATTTGCAAATATATCGATTTTTATTATATTTTGCTATATTTTTATTATTTAGTTAATTTATTGCGTTTGTTATTTATTATTACAATTTTATTATTTATAAATTATATAGCTTTTAATTATTGCTATTTTATTGGGACTAATATACATATAAATTTAGTTCAGTTTATATGTCTTTTGCTGTCAGCAAACAAAACCAAATAAACTTTTATCTTATTATTGTTTACAGCAATACCTCAATTGATTAGTGATTGTGTTTTTAATTATTTAATATAACATTTTTGATTATTTAGTTTGTTATTACTTTTGAATTGCTAATACAATATATTATTTCCAAACACTTTTAACATAAAGTATAGACAAAACCATTAAGACATTTACATACATATGTACTGTAATATAATTTGTAACTAAAAAATATCATTTTAATAAACAACAAAATAAAGGCTTAAATATAAAGAAAATATATTTCAAATAAAAATTACAATAATTTATAAAACATTAGATAATTATTATATTTAAGTATTGGCTAAGCAAATGAGTGGCAAAATAATAGTTTTTATTTATTATAATTATGATTACAGCTATTATTTATGACTACTATTATATTGCCAGCAAAGACAAAGCTATATGATAGTCACAACTATATGATTATTGTTTAATTATTATTTGAATAATAATAAATGCAACAAGTTTGTTTTATGATACTCTAATTATTTCATTTATCATTTAACAATTATATAATCAATTATATGGAAATGTTATTATTATTGAATTATTGCTGAAATGAAAATAAACTTTTGTTTCTATTTATTTTATGCTAGTTTTTAATAAATAAAATACAGTTTAGCATAACTTAAACTTATATCCAATATAGCTATTACTGTATACACGTATAAATAAATATATGAATATATAACAAACACTTGAAAATAAAATACAAATAAAGCTTAAGAAATGTTTCTGAAAACACATTTTGTTATTCATTATTTATATATATATATATGTTTTGTATAATTTTCTAATAGATTATTTGCTGTTATGATACAAAATATTATAATAATATTGTAATTACTTTTGTTAAGGCAAATAAAATCACAATAACAATCATAATTTTTTAAATAAATTACTGTATATTATGTTTTGTTATATATATATCATATATTATATTAACATGTTATAGATTTGAAATATATTTTCTAATATAAAAATATTTTTTATTGACAATAACATGTTTATAGGGTGCATATTATTATGCAGAGATTATTAATGCAAACAATATATTTAATATCAAGAAAATGATAGTTGAAAATGTGTTAATATAATAGTATAAATTGACTTAAAAAAAATGTACTGACTTTCTAATTGGATATTTCATAACATTTTATATATTTTTGTTTGAATTTATTTCAATAACTACAATTACAGTATACAATAAAATTATAACAAGTTTTAAAGTTACCCAAAGTTCCCAAACCAAGTTTTCAAATTTTAATTTTTGGAAATCAAATAATTTTTAGATATAAAAGTATGAAAAATATTATTTTTTACAATGTTAACTAAATATCAATTTTTAAAACTATATACAGTAATATATATAAATTACAATATATAT